TAGACTCCAGGATGCAGAGAGCCTTCCCCCCAGAAGACTGCCTCTCCAACCTACAATGAGCCATCTTCAACCTCCAACGCTCCCAAGCTCCTCCGCTTGGGCCATCCAGTCTATCCTTGGCCACATGTCTTTTACTACCAACGTCACTCCATACACCCCTTTTTGGATGAGGTCCCAAAACATTTGATCCTCTCCGCGACCCCCAGTCCCGGGTCCTACACTCCCCACACAGTGTCCTCCAGTCCCTATCATGGTGGACAAAAGAATACAATGTTCAATCGGGGATGCCATTCATCCAACCCCGTCCTTCTATGTCCCTCACAACAGACGCTTCCAACTCAGACTTCCAACTCACTCAAGGACCTCAAAGTCAGTGTCCATTGGTCCCCTCAGGACCGCCATTTTCCACATCAATACCCTCGAGCTGATGGCGGTGGAGAAGCTCTTCATGCTTTCACCCGCATTATATCCAACCGCATGGTCCAAATTGTAACCGACAACACTGCGGTCAAATATTATATCAACAAACAAGAGGAAACACGCTCACAAACACTACTCTGCATTTCGACACGCTTATGGGAATGGTGCATTCAGAGAAATGTCCTTCTCACGGCCATTCACCTCCCAGGACAGGACAATACACTACCAGACTCCCTGAGCAGATCATCCAAAAACAATCACGAGTGGCACCTCCACCCCAAACAATTCAAACCATCACACTCAATGGGGCAAACCCAAAATAGATCTCTTTACATCACCACTAAACAATCACTGCCCTTTTACTGCACAAGACTCCACCCCCATGCACCCCCAGGCTGTCTCGGAGACATCTTCACTGGACTCCAGGTCTACTCTACCTCCCCCCCCTCTCCTATCCCCAGTCATAGCCAAAATAATCCAGGACAACTCGGATTGCATGCTAATCACCCCTTGGTGGCCCCGGCAACACTGGTTTGCACCACTCCTCCAAATCTCCAACAGGGAGTTTCTCCACTTCAAACCAACTCCGGACCTTCTCACTGTAGAGAATGGACTGGTACTTCACCCAGACCTCCAATCCCTCCGCCTGACGGCGTGGATGATCAGACCGCATTAAACCAATCCGAGGAAGTATCACGTATACTCCTCGCTGCCCACGAACCAGCAACCAAAAAGTCCTATAACTATAAATGGTCCCTCTTCAAGCCATTCACAGAAACATCTGGGCATGACCCAAATACAGGCCCAATACCCATGATATTAGATTTTCTAGTCCACCTCTCTGATAAGTGCTCCTCACTCTCCTCTCTAAAATGTTACCTATCAGCCATCTCATCGTTTAGAATGAAATTGGGTTTACCGTCCCTTTTTCAAAACCACTTAATTCAATTGTTTCTCAAAGGTATAAAAACATCCACCCTCCTACCTCCTTTCCCTCCCCCAGTGGAGTCTGTAATTAAGTTTGTCACAACTATCAAACCACCTTTTGAACCCATGGCCTCCAATCATATTCTCACCTTTCGTGTAAGACGGCATTCCTGGTGGCCGTCACTTCCACCAGGAGGGTTAACGAGCTTACAGCCTTCCGGTCTGACCCACCTTATATTAGGTTTCGCGAGGACAAAGTTGTTCTCCATACCGATGTTACCTTTCTCCCGAAAGTAGTCTCCTTTTTTCATATGTCACAAGACATAACTCTCCCAGCCTTTTTTCTTAACCCATCATCTCCCCTAGAAACTGCCCTTCACTCCTTAGATGTCAAAAGAGCTCTCTCCTTTTATTTCCATAGGACATCTACATATAGAAAATCCCCTAAGCTCTTTTTAAAATACAGGAAAGACAAATTAGGCTACTCTGTTACCTCTCAGGGGTCAGCCCCTTGGAGTGTCTCAACATTCCGCCTAGCCTACCAATTGACAGGCAAAGATCCACCTACTCACCTGGTGGCCCATTCAACTTGCTCTGTGTCCACCTCCCAGGCTTTTTGGCGATGAGTGTCTCGTGAACAGATCTGCAAAGCAGCTACCTGGTCTACACCATCTATTTTTCCTTCTCACTACAAGTTGGACATACAAGCGAAAAAGGACGCCGCCTTTGGCAGAGCTGTTCTCTTTTCCTGTGTGGCATGACCCGCCTCCAGGCCAGTAGCTTGCTAAGTCACCCATAGGTGCGCATTTCACAGATGACACGACGAGGAAATATAGGTTGCTTACCTGTAACCGTATTTCTTCGAGTGTCAATCTGTGAAATTCGCACAACCCGCCCGTCCTCCCCACTTGTCATGCCTCTAACCTGGCTGCTGTTTAGCGCCGGGGAACTACCGGCCAAGCCGCATTTGGCGGCATATATACTGGGGGGGCGGGGGATGGGCGGGGCTTACATATATTCTTAAAATAATCATTAAAAAATTGATTAAAACTCTAGAATGTTCCAGATTGCTGCGCAGGCGCACAGGAAAACCCATAGGTGCGAATTTCACAGATTGACACTCGAAGAAATACGGTTACAGGTAAGCAACCTATATTTCCCTTCCCTCCCCCCTCCCAAAATCTACACACATATGTATACATAAAACACATAGACTTCAGAACAGTGCCTACAATAATTGTTCCCCGTTACACTAGTTGGGATGGATTTCTGATTCCCATTATATGTATACTGGCCCTGTGTTGCACCTGGCTGTTATTGATACATACAGAAGTTCTAGTAAAAAACTAAGAAAGAAATAAAGATATCACAAATATAAAACAACATCAAGCCTTACAATGGTCTTTATTAAGCCTCTTGAGGCAAATGTTGAGAGTGAGTTTTAATTCTTTTATCACGACAAAAGGAAAGAGGATGGTTCAAGCTGAAAAAGTCTTCCTACCTAATGTAAGTATGTCATAAACTCTCTGAGAATGGTTTTCTTGCCTGGAACAATGGAATTGTTGGACTGTATTAAAACCAGTTAGCAGAGCAAGTAGTCAGGAATGTTGGCAGCTGTCTTCTGGCTTGGCCAAAACACTTCACCATTTCTGTTGCAAGAATACCCCCAGATCCGCAAAATCAATATGCAGTTTCATTTATGACAAAATATTTCTCTGGGTATTTTTCAAACCCTGCAATGCAATTTTAAGGTAGAAGAAGTCCTTCATTTCAGTGGGGCTTGTATATGCACTCAAAGTCCAATGATTTATCTCCTGAGAATACAAGGGGTGTGCTGAACTAGTGCTTCCATTGTAAGGTTTTCAGCTTTTGTTATGTAATTTCATTCCAAAATTTTTCAGCACTGTATAATATTGGAGACATGGTTCATGCAGCACGTGGCAAATGGGGAATCAAAGCTAACTGTCCCTGTATTAACCGGCAGAACAAATCTGTGTTGCGACCTGCTGTTACCAATGGCATTTCACAGGTATGTAAAAATTTAATATAACCACCTATGGTTCAGTATTTCTAGTACAACCTATGGACTTAATTTGAGCATTTAGAATACAGCTGTTGGCTTTTTAAAATGTTACAATAAACGTCATGAGTGTTAGAATTGTTTGTAATTGTTTTGAGTAATTTGAATATGTTAATTGAAAGGCAAAATGTAAATAAATTGCCTTTATAATAAATAATAAAGATACTATTTAGTTTACAGTAAAACAATAAAAGCATGTTCAAAGCCTATCACTGTTGACAATAGTGATAGGCTTTGGACATGCTTTGATTTTTCACATTAAAATACAGACAGTGATCTACTCCTTGGATCCTGAGAATTTCCTCTTCGTGGAGTCTGTGAAATTAGCACATAATGGGTTTTAGTTCTGCGCATGCGCAGCTGTTCGGAACCTTCTAGAATCTTGTAAAAGAAACATTTTGGCGGAAGCCCCGCCCACTCCCCAATATTATAAATGCCCCAAGTGGGGACTGCGCCTTAGTTCCTTTTTCCGCGTCAGCAACTTTAGGAATCTCTCTAGTCTGACCGTTTTGGCTTATTTCTCTACTGTTAACTACCGGACTCTTCGACCTCGGCTTGCTTACGGACTCTACTGTCTCTCTCCACCCTTAACCGGATTTAGATAACTCTCAGGCCATTCTTTCTTAACCATGAGTACCACTTCATTCTTTAAAAAATGTGGGTCATGCAGCGGCAACATACCGGACACAGACGGGCACTCTATGTGCCTGCTCTGTTTGGGAGAAGCCCATTGGCCGCAGTCATGCCAAGGCTGCCTAGGATTCACTCCCAGGGCTCATAAAGTTTGAGAATCCAGGCTTAAGGCGTTGCTATATGAGTGGGCCCTAGCCCCAACCACCGCCCGCCCAACCAAGCGCCCAGCCCCTGAGGAGATGCCTGCTCCGCAAACGGAGATTAATGGTGACCCCACCTCCTCTCAATCGCCTCATCCCAGCCAGGAGGTGAGCTGTGAGCCCCGGATGGAGCCCGCGAAAAAGGCTAGGCCCTCTAAGCAGGACAAATCGGCTCCCAAACACAAGGACGGGCTCAATAAAGGAAAGAAAGGGAGGCAACTGGGTGGTAATGTACCCGAGTCCTCATCCGCTGTCGGGTACGGCGCAAGACGAAACAACCCAGCTTTCTACTGTCTCCTCAACGATGGGAGAAGCTCAGCTGGTTCAAACATTCCCCTCCCCCTTGGGTATGGAGTAATAAGGCCTCCAACTCTCTCGCCAGCAGACAGGGCTAACCCTGATCATCGGGCCAGAAGCAGCCCGGGAGAGGCTCGGAGACCAGTCGCTCCCCCAAGTTTACCTTTAGAGGCCCAGCAGATGGAGGGAGCGTTAAATCCACCAGGCCCGTCTCAGCCACTCCAAATGGAGCTGCCGCCAGCTGAAAAACCAAGCGAAACTGCTCATAGGAGCCATTCTCAGGAGCGCCGCTCGCGCCACGTGCCACGGCACCCGCGCAGGTCCCCATCAGTTAGTGCCTGGAGCTCCCAGTCCCGCAGTCCTCCGAGGCATTACTATTATGATGATTATTCCCCGGAACGCCGCCATTCAAGAGCCTTCCAAGACTATGGGCACTATAAATATGCTGTGCCCTATCCAGAAAGGGCCTGTTGTCGCCATTTTGATTGCTGCCAGCAATATGTCAGCCATACCCATCCAGCGCCGGTGACCACGACCCTTTCCTTGGGACACGCCCATAGGGGCGAGATATCCATGTTTCCGTCCCAAGCGGCGGCAGTGAACCAGCCAGCAGGGGGTGCATCGACAACCTCCCAGCCAAACGCACAGCGCGATGCTGCTCCGACTCCGAAACCTCCCCAACCTTTGGCACCAGCCGCTCACCAGGAGGCAGCGACTCCTCTGGCCTCTACTGAAGAGCCTGACCAGCTCTCTGCCTCCTCGGAGGCGGAAGACAGGCCCCTCTCTGCCACAAATCCCCAGTTAGAAGCTCTTCCAACGGAGGACTTTGGGGGCTTCTCAGCGTTAATTATTAGAATGTCACGTGCCTTGAAGCTGTCGGTTCCGCAACCCACTAAAGTTGTCGAAGACCCAATGCTTCCCTCATCCCAACAGCAGGACCCACCAACAACGATCCTGCCATCGCTGCCCTTTCTATTGCAGCTTATAAAAGCTTCTGGAATAGCTCCATCTGCGGTTCCAGCTACTCCTAAAAGGGCCGAAAACCTATACAAAGTAGACCTATCCACTGCACCGTGGTTGGCTAAACAACCCAAACCTAATTCTATTGTAGTAGATGTTAGCAAGCCTCGTCCCTCACAAAGGTCTCAGACAACTCCTTCAGATAAGGAGGGAAAGAAATTGGAGGCTCTGGGGAAAAGATCTATGCCTCCACATGTCTGGAATCTAGGATGCTGCATTACGGTGCATATATGGCAGGGTATCAGAACTATCTATGGACCAAGGTTGCACATTATCTTGACTTACTTCCTCCAAATGAACAGATGCTGGCAAAAACATTCCATCAGGAAGTGTTGTTACTAGCTTCCTTCCAGAAGGATCTGGCTAAGCATACAGCTGATGCTGCAGGAAAATTGCTGGCGACTGCAGTAGCCCTCCGTCGCCACATATGGCTCAGGGCATCTGGTCTATCTCAATCTGCTAGGTCAGTAATAGAGGACTTGCCTATGGATGAGGCTGGCCTCTTTAATCCAGAAACGGATTCGCAACTGGAGGATACCCAGAAGATGCACCAGACAGCTCATAGATACGGTTTCTCTCCTTATCTCTCGCAGCACCATAGCCTTACTGGTCAAACCGATTCCAGCACCATCGCAGACGTTATAGCCCACCGGCATTCAGAGGATGCCAACGTCCTTCCTCTTCAACAGCATCTGCCAGAAAACCCACCCTGCCATACAAAGACCAACAATGAGGTGGAGGTAAACAAATGGAGCAACAAAAGTGCCACTTCTAGCCCTCGGGCTGGTTGCCAGGCATCAGTATTCTTACCAGTTCCAGAAGTTGACAGTTCTTCAGTTGGCTCCGTTGAGCCTTGTTTATTGTTCGACAGTTCTTTACCTGACGATTATTACTTGCCACATCCCTCCAAGAGAACCTTTCAGGATCGATTGATTCCCTTTGTACATGCTTAGAGGAAAATAACCACTGACGCCTGGGTTCTCTCCATTGTTGAACACAGGTATGCAATAGAATTCCAGTGCTACCCTCCAGTAGGAGATGTTAAAACAACAAAACTCTCATCCCAGCTAAGCAAGGAGATTTTGACTCTCCTGGGAAAGCAAGCCATCTCAAGGCTACATCCCTCTGAGGCAAAGCGTTGTTTCTTCTCCAGATACTTTTTAATTTCCAAAAGGGGTGGGAGCCTTCGCCCCATTTTAGATTTAAGGGATGTCAACTTTTTTATCAAGCCCCGTAAATTTCGGATGGTTACCCTTGCAACAATCCTCCCCTTGTTGAGACCAGGAGCCTGGTTTGCAACAATTGGCCTTGCAGATGCATATTTTCATTTCTCCATCAGACCAGATCATCGTAGGTTTCTAACTTTTGCGTTGGGCAATCAGTTCCTTTCGGACTTGCAACGGCACCCCGAGTCTTCACAAAATGTATAGCAGTTGTGGACACATACCTAAGCCAAAGAGGAATTATAATGTTTCCATACCTAGATGACTGGTCACTCACCTCGGAATTGGAATCCCGACTTCGGTCTGACGTCACCTTCATGCTGTCTCTCCTACAGGAGCTGGGCCTCATGGTCAACTTTGAAAAATCCAGCTTGGCCCTGTCCAGAAGTGTCCATTTCATTGGGGCAAGGATAGACTCCATAGCAGAGAGGGCCTTCCTCCCGGAAGATCGCTTTCACACCATCAGATCTAGTGTAGAAGACATATGCACCCAGGAACGCGCTTCTGCGTGGACTGTCCAGTCTCTATTAGGTCACATGGCCTCGACAACATCTGTCACTCAATTCTCAAGACTCCGAATGCGCCCACTTCAGCACTGGTTTCTTCAAGTATTCAAACCACAATACGACAACCAGAAGACCCAATTGTGCCTGCCTCGAGAGGTACTATCGTCACTGCAAGGGTGGATGAAGAGAAGGCACGTCCTCTCAGGTATGCCTTTCAGACAACCTCACCCTTCCCGCTGGCTCACGATGGATGTGTTGCTGCAGGGATGGGGGGCGCACCTCCGGGACCTAACAATACACGAGCAGTGGTCCCCCAGAGAGGCGGCCCATCACATCAATTATCTTGAACTTCTGGCCGTGCAAAAGGGCCTGCATGCTTTCGAACCCCAGGTCACCAATCACACTGCAGATACTGACAGACAACATGTCGGTGAAGTTTTACATCAACAAGCAAGGGGGGGACGCACTCGGCCACCCTGCTTCGCCTGTCAATGGAAATTTGGGAATGGTGCATTCCACGGCAGATCCATCTCAGCGCAGTACACCTCCTGGGAGAGGGCAACTCCCTTGCAAACGCCCTCAGCTGGACGCCAACATCATGTCACAAATGGCAGTTCCATCGAGACGTGTTCAACCTTCTAGTTTGCCTCTGGGGCCAACCAACACTAGACCTGTTTGCGTCACCAACGAACAGACAATGCAACATGTTCTGTGCCAGACTTCGCCCCAAGGCAGCGCCAGGATGCATCGGGGATGCCTTCATGTTTACTTGGTCCCCGGGTCTGCTGTACGTGGTTCCCCCGGTTCCTCTGATCTCCAAGGTGGTAGCCAAAATGACACTCATTACAAGACCACACGAACGCCATGCTGATCATCCCATGGTGGCCATGCCAGCACTGGTTCGCCCCTCTCCTTTGGGCGTCACACGGCGAGTACATCAGACTTCAACTCAGGCCAGATCTCCTATCCATCCAGGAGGGGCAGGTACACCACCCGGACCTGGCCTCCCTGCGCCTCATGGCGTGGAGAGTGCGCCCCAGGAACCGCTATTGGAAGCAGTGCAACAGATAACCAATGCAGCCCAGAAGGCCATGACCAAGAAGGCATATGGCTACAAATGGTCACGGTTCCTGGAGTTTGTCACACCACTGGCCATAAATCCACTTACGACCCCTACGTCTATTATTTTGGACTTCCTAGTTCATCCGTCTCACAAAGGGCTAGCCCTATCGTCACTCAAATGCTGTCTGGCAGCCAGTTCATGGCACAGAAGACGATCCGGAGGCCCGTCATGTTTTCACGACCCCATGATTTGACTCTTCCTTAGGGGCTACTCTAATTTGCATCCACCGGTGGTACCTCCTCCCCCAGCGTGGAGTTTGGAGCTAGTTCTGTCGCAACTGTGAAAGCCACCGTTCGAACGGATGGCCACCTGCGACCTTTCACACCTGTCATGGAAGACAGCGTTCGTGGCCATTACGTCGGCCAGGAAAGTAAGTGAGATCTGCGCCCTAAGAGTAGATACGCCTTATCTTCGTTTCTATAAAGAAAAGGTAGTCCTCCGCCCGGACATTTCGTTTTTACCTAAGGTAGTCTATAAATTTCATTTATCTCAGAACATTTCTTTACCGGCATTCTTTCAGAATCCATCTTCCTCACTGGAGGCTGCTCTACACTCTCTGGATGTGAGAAGAGCCTTGGCATTTTATACCAACAGGACAGCCCCACATAGAAAATCAGTGAGGCTTTTTCTTAAGTATTGCAAAGACTCCCTCGGCCTGCCTGTGTCATCACAGTGAGTGGCGTCGCGTATCGTCGCAACGATTAGGCTGGCATACCAGCTTGCGAAGAAAGACCCTACGTAGCAAATCTCTGCCCATTCCACGAGAGCGGTTTCGACCTCGAAGGCCTTCCTGAGTGGCATTCCAATAGATGACATCTGCTAGGCGGCGACCTGGGCTACTCCATCAACGTTCGCCACTCATTACAAGTTAGATGCCCTGGCGAGAGGGATGCTGCCTTCAGTCGAGCCGTGCTGTTTTCCTGTGTCGCATGACCCACCTCCAAAGGTTAGTAGCTTGCTAATCACCCATTCTGTGCGTCTTTCACGGACTCCACAAAGAGGAAATACGAGTTGCTTACCTGTAACTGTGTTTCCTCGAGTGGTAGTCTGTGAAATTCGCACATCCCCGCCCATCCTCCCCGCAATGGTCATGCTTTTATCTATAGCTGCTTCCAGCGGCTATGGAACTAAGGTGCAGTCCCCGCTTGGGGCATTTATAGTATTGAGGAGAGTGGGTGGGGCCTCCGCCAAAATGTTTCTTTTACAAGATTCTAGAAGGTTTCGAACAGCTGCACATGCGCAGAACTAAAACCCATCATGTTCTAATTTCACAGACTATCACTCGAGGAAACACAGTTACAGGTAAGCAACTCGTATTTCCCTCAGCTCCTTCTGCCAGTAGAATTGCAAAATTAAGTCCACTCACTCATTGGTTGGTTACTTAGTTAAGTAAACTTGAGAATTTTGGTAAACATAATGAAATAAAATTATGTTTGCCAAATATTTGGAGTTTGAAAAGTTCTTTTGGTTGGTTAAAAGGTAAATAACACTTTCTGATGATTTTTGTGGCCCTTGCCTTTAGCAGTTACCCAGTATGAATCCTGGTGCTTCAACCTCTGGAAATGAAAGCACATTTTCTAGTGTCACAGGGACAACAGAAGGTGGGCAGCCAGAAACCAATGTTGTCCCTAAGTCTGAACCTACAGAAGGTGGAACTGAAGACCCTGTCAAGACAGAGGTTCCCACAACCAGCAGCAGTGCGGAAACAAAACCAAGCAAGTCACTGTGCCCTGAAACCAGTCCCTCATCAGCATTGCACTGGCTTGCAGATTTAGCAACCCAGAAGGCAAAAGAGGAGACAAAAGGTAATCTGTTGGGAGGTAACGTTTTACTAGAGGCTTGACTATCACTCTGAATACAGCGGGGGGGGGGGGGGGGGGGGGGGGGGAGATGAAGAAGGCTGTTGAACCAAGGAAGCTTTTTGAATGTCACTATGTTTACTTGGTGTACTTCATGCTCGTAAAGTATATGAAGACTGAGCAGACTTAGTACAAGAGGGCCACTATAGGTAATGTTGCAAACTAAAAAAATCCCCAGTTAAACTAAAGCTAGGGCAGGTAGTCCTTTTTATGTTGACCGTCTCATCCCATTGACATTGATCTGCCAAGGCCAATGTGCCAGCAGTGGAAAGGACTAAAGCCAGCTCTAGACAAGGTCATAGCCAAACATACTTGAGTGCCTCTTTGTCTTCCTTTCTGTGTGCCTCCCTTTTTCTACTTCACACCCAGAAGGAACAAATTGCCTTTACAGAGGGCTTTTGAAATGAGATTAGGGACTACAGGTTGCCCAACCTAGTCAAAGCTTTTGCCTCACTTAATCAGTGGAAATAATCCAGGCACTAAATCATTTTTGGAAATGTGGCCCAATTCACAAGATCCACCATGCCAAGTCTGAATCATCTTGCACAGATCTTGTCCCTCAAGGTTAAATAGGTTGTTTAAAACCTGCAAATTTGGAAGCCTTGGATGATTTAACTTAACTTTAATCAAAGTTCATTGCTGCAGTTTGTACCTTTTTATTGTGTTCAATTTTCAGCTATCTTAGCCAGATTTATATTCTTAACAATTTAAACTGATGCACCTGTAGCATTGCTAGGCCTTTGAAAGTTGCATAGCCCTTTGACATTCAGATTGCTTGGTTTTCTTCCCTTATACTTGTTCTCTTTTTCTAATTACAATGGTGTGTTACACCAGGGATTTTATTGAAGATATTGTGATTATGAAGTATTTTGTTACAATGGTTGTCTCACAACTCTTCTGTGTGGTTGGAGAAGTATTTCCATTAGCATATATTTTTAAATCCTTTTTATTTTTTCTTGACTTCTTTACAGAAGCAGGTTCGCTGAGGTCAGTGCTCAATAAAGAATCCCAGTCACCTTTTGGATTGGATTCCTTCAACTCCAGTACAAAGGCATCCCCTTTAACCCCAAAGCTGTTTAATAGTCTTTTGCTGGGCCCAGTGGCCACAAGCAACAAGACAGAAGGTTCCAGTCTTCGTGATTTGCTTAACTCTGGGCCAGGAAAGCTTCCCCAGGCCTCACTTGATACAGGAATCCCTTTTCCTCCAGTCTTTTCCGGAGCTTCCACTGTAAGTAATACATTTTTATTTTAAGTTAATAGATAAATCTTATCAGTATATCTTTGGTAAAGATAAAGGTTTCCCCTGATATTAAGTCTAATCATGTCTGATTCTGGGGGGTGCTGCTCATCTCCATTTCTAAGCCACAAGAGCCAGCATTGTTCGTAGACGCCTCCTAGGTCATGTGGCTGGCATGACTGCATGGAGCACTTACCGTCCTGCAGAAGCGGTACCTATTGATCTACTCACATTTGCATGTTTTCGAGCTGCTAGGTTGGCAGAAGCTGGGGCTAACACAGCAGGAGCTCACCCTACTCCCTGGATTCAAACCGCTAACCTTTCGGTCAGCAAGTTCAGCAGCTCAATGGTTTAACCTGCTGCACCACCAGGGGGCCCCATCTTTGGTAGCAGGTGGTAATAGGATTTTGTGATAATTAGCACACACAGTTTAACCCTCTGAAATGGCTTCATTTTGGTGATTATATTTCAAGCCTGAAAACTGATAAAAGATGTTAGGGACGGTAGCAGTGCTCCAATGCAGTCATGCCGGCTACATGACCTAGTTGGGTTTGTTGGAAGGATTAGGAATGGTTTTCCCAACATCTTTTATCCCATGGATACATACATTAGGAAAAGCATAGAGAAATCCTGCTTTATGTTTAGCATTACCTGACTCATACTTTCCTCCATAATGTCAGGTGGAATTTAAAACATTGCAGCTTGTTTCCCTAGAGGAGTACAATAAGAGGAGGGGATGATTGGGTACAGGAAAATTGTATGAGCTTAGTACATGCATTTCTTTAAAAAACTCTGACTTTGGATCTTCAGTTTCAATAGACTTAATTGCTAAAATATTTATTTTATTTACTCTATTTATACCCCATCCTCTCTCACCCTGAAGGGGACTCAGAGCAGTTTAGAAGTAAGCAACAATTTGCAATGTCGCATAAACAGACATACAATTAAAATAAACAAATATAATAGGGAAGTTTTTCCTTAAAGATCTCCCTTACCATGTATTTCTATTAAAGAATTTTGGGGATAAGAAAAAGAAATAAAACTGTTCTGTAGATAAGAATGGCTAGATCCTAAACTACAAAGTATATGTTAACAAATGTGTGAACAGTTTCTTCATTTTTCTAAGTACTCAAAGATATTCTCTCTCCAGATGTGAAGAAATTTCTTACTTGGGTATGCTGAGTTTTATTAGGGATCTGGTTTCCCCTTTCTTACCACCATGAGTTTTATGAGTATGATTGTATGACCTTACTATCTTCACTTTTCTGCCAAGTGTTTAACTGGCGGAGAGATCATAGTCTGGCAAAGAAAGCAAACTCTGCTAATGTACGGTTGCTAAGTGGGTTGATTTCTTCTAGGGGGGCAAGAGGAAAGCCAGTTTGCCCAACTTCCTCGATCATATTATTGCTTCTGTGGTGGAAAATAAGAAGACCGCGGACTCAACCAAGCGATCAAGCAATTTGGCTGATACGCATAGAGAAGTGAAGGAAATGGTAATGGGATTAAATGTGCTAGATCCACACACTTCCCATTCTTGGCTCTGTGATGGAAGGCTTCTATGTCTTCATGACCCCAGCAACAAAAACAACTGGAAGATCTTCAGGGAGTGTTGGAAACAGGGTCAGGTAAGACAAAAGGGCACCCTTCTGATCTTTATCTGTAACAGTGATTGTGTTAATTTTAAAGTGAACTAATTAGTATGAATGGTGTGTGATATTGGTGAAGACCAAAACTTAGAAAAGTTCCTTTTTGCGTACAACTCAAAAAGTCCAAAAAATACAACTTTTTCAGTCTTCAGCTCAAGATTTGTTACTAACTGATGGAAGATACAAAGTAAAAAATTGATCTGTGTATAATATAAGGAGATACATTTGTATCGAGGGTTTGAGTTTAGCATCCCCCTAAATTAAAATGATAAATGTCTGCACCTTATAATTGGATAAAGGCTAGATACAGTGCTGAGTGAACTTTCAGAACTCAGTTCAGTTTGAACAAGGTTTCTTAGTCAGAACATCTTGTCTTTTCTATTACTATAGGTAGTACTTAAAAGTATGTGTTGAATTTGGTTAACATAGTTTTTGCATTCTGAGAAAGCAGCTGCTTTTAACACAGAAGTTAAAGAGTGTTTGTGTGTAGTGTAATATAGGCTACACTGCATTATTAAAGTATCAATGAGTAAAAGCCAGCATGTTGCAAGCTATCCTCTTTTTTACTTCTAGAAATTCATTTTGAAATCATTTGTCATTAATCTTTCCACAGCCTGTTCTAGTTTCTGGTGTTCATAAGAAGCTGAAGGGTGAACTTTGGAAACCAGAGGCATTTAGCCAGGAATTTGGAGATCAGGATGTAGATCTTGTCAACTGTAGGAACTGTGCCATAATTTCAGATGTTAAAGTGCGTGACTTCTGGGATGGTTTTGAAGTCATTTGTAGTAAGTGCATTCTAAGTATATATCCGATCTTTCAAATGCACATCCACACATTCTGTTGATATTGCTTGTGAAAATGTATCAATCTCATCAGTTGCTGTTTTTTTTTTAAAAAAAAAACCAAACAAATTGTATTTAATTGTGCTACCAAAATACCACACATTTCTAAAGAACGTATTTTTCAAAGCTCATGAGAGCTTTCTAACTGCTTTGCAGTAAGACCTGAGGATATAGAATTTCCTAAATGTTGAATCCATGAAGGGAAAATTTGCCAGGGAGATTTTTGGTAGGACACAAATGTTTGGGGAGAAATGCTGTGTTAGTACTTTTTACAGGTTGACAGTCACTTTGTTACTCTAAGAACATGAAATACATCGAGTCCAATTTGGTTTAGCACAAAATTATCATGTTTGGAATATTAAAATACAGTCTATTCAGACAACAATTACAAATAGAATTTACTTCCTAAAAGTTTTATTTTTGTTCGTAAAGAGAGCAATAAAGTCTTAAAGTATACAGAACATCTGAACTCCTTAATATTATTCATTTACAAAGAAAGGAAAAGCAATAAAAAGAAAAAAATCAGCATTACAAAACAAAGAAAACAATTTTGTCTCTTTTAGACCTTCATAACGCCAAGCAAATATAAAGCACTCATTCCATAAAAGGAACTGAGAAAAGGGAGGTCAAGATGAGGAATTGTAAAAATATGAACCTGTGCAAAGTTATATATGCAACTTCCTGTAACATAGTATTTACAAATTGTATTGGGAGAGTACATATATTAATATCTTGTCTAAAATTGTATAGTTCTAAAAGAAAATATTCTATGTTTTTCAGTTTTATCAGGAAAAAGGTTTTGCAGAAAATGGAGAGACATTTTCCTCTTATTTTTTTTCCTGACCCTCACATGTTTAGTGAGGGCCAGTTCTTTATATTGTTGGCTTTTTCTGTTCCTTTCCATTAACAAACTTTGTAATTCACATTTTAGTTGCTGAAGCGAGAAATATTTAGTTGAGCAAAACAGTAATAATGGTTGGATGCCTTTAAGTCCTAATTCTGGCTACCCTTTCATTGACTTTGGCACAAAATATTAAATGTATTTCTTTAGGTATTAGCAGAGTCTCTACTTGAATTTACAAAACAAATTTGAATTTGTTCATACTTGGAAGTATGTGATTATAGGAAGACTTAACAGGCGTTTGTTCCGCTTTCTCTATAAATTTTGGATTAGGGGCAAAATTATGAGAGAAACCAGATGATGTTAATTTTTCTCATTTTTTAACAGAGCGGCTTAGAGCAGATGATGGGCAGCCTATGGTATTGAAATTAAAAGACTGGCCTCCAGGAGAAGATTTCAGAGACATGATGCCTACTAGGTAGAAGATCCTTTGATTCCTGGTTTCTTAATATTCTTGCAATTACTATTATCTTTTGTCCCAGAGTCTAAAATCATACTTATCTCTTTTTCAGATTTGAGGATCTAATGGAGAACCTTCCTCTTCCAGAATATACTAAAAGGGATGGAAGATTGAATCTGGCATCTAGGTTGCCAAGCTACTTCGTGCGACCTGACCTGGGTCCCAAAATGTACAATGCATATGGTATGTAGGCTTGGAATCATGTTTTATACCTGCTCCTACTTCCTTTGACACAGATTTGTTGGAGTCGGAAGCTATATTGGAGTCTATTGCTATCTGTGTTGCTTTTAATTTAATTTCCACCTCAACTGACTGAAACTTACATTGGGTAAATAGCATAGACACAATATGTCAAATTCCATATCTTTCAAATTTAAAATCATAGGAGTATGCATTTTACATTACCTTCATATTAATAGATAACCTCTATTTCCAAAGGAAAAACATATTTTGTAGAGTGCAAAGATTTACTGGTACTTAACTTCCTTGGCCTTTTGTCCATCTTGGCCTATAAATTTATTTTGGCCTAGATTAGACATATTTCTGACAGCTGTAGTAAAGAGATTGTTGGACAAGACTGCTTCAATGTCTGAAAGAGGTGGTGATTATCCATTCTGGAAGAAGTTTTTCAGATATGGCAATTCTGAACTTTTTAAATTGGCTGTAGTGGTGCCTTTTGAGTATAAGATGATTGAGCAGACAGCTATGGATTTGCTCCCAGAATTGAGTAGCCTTGTACCAGTCAAGGTTTTGAGTAGAGCAGTGGTTCTCAACCTGTGGGTCCCTAGATGTTTTGGCCTTCAACCCCCAGAAATCCTAACAGCTGGTAAACTGGCTGGGATTTCTGAGAGTTGTAGGCCAGAACACCTTAGGACCCACAGTTTGAGAACCACTGGAGTAGAGCATTATACAGAGATTGCATTGGTTGACCTGGTTTGCAGTCTGTTGGGAGACAGAATAGTTGGACTATAACCGCTTTTTCTGGATCTCTCAGTGACTTTTGATATAATTGATAATCACATCCAGGAGTCTGTTCTACACAATCCTGTTTTGTCATTAGACCTCATCAGAATCTGTATAAATCCTCTAGGAGAGCTTGTTTAGCAGACTGCAAGGCAAATCTGTCTGTTGTAGCCACTTCTGATCTTCATTTTCATCACATTGAGGAGCGAAAGATCTGTCCCTGAAAAGAATATCTTGATAAAATTACAGACAGAATTATATTTAATAACTTGAAGTTTAACTTACAGTTAGTTAGCCTGTATCTGGAAAATTGTTGGTCCTTTCCTCCATGGGTGAAGTTGCTCTGTACCTTGAGAATATTGTAGCTTCCTTATGGACAAGGAAGGAACTCCAGGGATCATAGCGCACAAGCTCTGCCTCAGCCAGTTTGAATGTGTGCATACTTCGAGGACTAGTTATTTCCTTTCAAGGCTTTGTAATATGCAGCCTACATAACATTGGGTATAATACTCCCAACTAAAGGAATAGTGTCACTAATGTATGTTCTCCAAAAACCTTTCAATCGGAAAGCTTCTTGACATTCTAAAACTGTTGGGCTCTTAGTATACTCGACTTAATTTGATGCACAAAACTTTTAACAAACATCATATTAATTTTATATCTGCATGAATCTTTTATGGGATTTTCCAGTAATCAGAATAGTTGAATTGAAATATATGGATCAAAAGATCAGTCCAGAAAAATGCACTTAATGAGGCTTAAATTATTTATTCAAATAAAATTCAAAGGTTTTCTGAGAAATTATTTTTATCAGAGTACTTGTAGATTTTTAAAGCATGACAGTGCAGCAGCACTCATTTTCTTTCTATTCTTTCTATGTTAAGAAACCAGTGAACACACTGTACACCAATATTATACCGACTGTGGGACACACAACTTCAGGATTTTTTAAGTGTTTAAATCCTCAGCAATTTTAAAATGAGGCTTCAGAATGAATGTATAATGTATTCCGTGTTGTACACTGTTTCAGGTGCAGTAGTAAAGTACTTTGATTGCTTTGAAGATGGTAGCTACAAAGAGATTATAAAATTATACATTATACCCATCCCCCTTCTTTTTTTGAAGTTAGGAACACGTGGCTAGAATGAGTCACTTTTCTAAAAATAAGCATTTCATTTTCAGGTGTTTAATACAAAATCTTCATTAAAGTATTATACTGGAACATGGTGCTGAACTTGATTTTCTCTTGAATCTGCTTTCCTTGCTAATTTTGTCTTTACAAAAAATCAGCAGGGACATTTCGTGTCTTGGTCTTGACTGCATTGTTTTGACATGAGCATAGTGTTGGGCAAGTGGGCTTAACAAAAGACCCTCCTCATAAATGTACAGCAGAGCAACACATTAGCAGCAGTGTGACCTAGCACCAGTAGCCCGAAGAGAACAAAAACCCACAGACCAATGTTATGTCTTCGATAGGAGGCTTTTCTTTGTAGTAAAATAATATGGATGCACTATTTACAATAACTAGGTTTCCATAACACAAATAAACAAATATATAGTAGCTTTACATGCAACAGCCTTCACAATGGAGCTTTCTCACATGAGGCTTCTCGCACTCCTCAGGACAACACTAGCTTTGGCCCACTGACTCTAATAGGCATCTGCCTACAAACTTTTTCAGTGCTTTTGTAATCAAAAATACCCAGTTAAATTTTAATATTTCTGACACCATAGTTGATACAACAGACTTTTTGAATGTAACACCATAATATAAACTATCTCTACACACCTTCAAAGGGCACGTGGAGAACCAATAAAGTCAAACAAATTAATTGTCTCTTTGCTGCTTCCTTGTAGGACTGATAACTGCAGAAGACAGAAGAGTTGGTACCACCAATTTGCACTTGGACGTATCAGATGCTGTTAACGTTATGGTGTATGTTGGAATCCCTGTTGGAGAAGGTGCTCATGATGATGGTAAGCTTTTTTTCAGATAATAACTTCTGAATCTCTACAAACGTGAATGGTTCTTTAGATTAGACCTGTGTAATTGACTGTCATTTTTCTTTGGATGTGTTTTTGTCACTGTGTAGTTGTTTGCACTTGACATTACATCCCAAAATAATCAAAGTAAAAGTCATCACAAAACCAAAGAGAGGGATAATAAAGGAGCCAATTCAAATTGCAAGTTGAAATGCCCAGTCACAAGTAGTAATAGTATGTTTTATTGATTAGCCCATCAGCCATGTTAAAACACTTTACAAACGTATTTAACACGTAGAGCATAAAGCATACAACCCACAGTACAACAAAATTTAAAATAAACAAGCTGTTAACAAGGGATCAAGATCCCGATCTAGATCAAGTCACAAGTACATGTACAGCTCAAAAAGGTGTATCAACTTGTCTTAAAATAATGTTCCTAATGATGCATGTTCAGAGATCATGAGGAGAACATTCTGAGAAGCAGATCATTCTTTTTGCTCTGCTAACTGTTCTAGGATAACTAGTGTAAAGTCTTAGTTGCAGATATCACCTGGGCACAAAATGCGAACACCACCAGGCGGGTTACAGATTGGCACGATTTAGTGTCATACATTCATAAAAGTGCAATTAAAAACAGTCAACATAACAATATAAAAACATACACATTTATGATAAACAGATGGTGCAGACAGAGGAGTAAATCTAGTATCCTCCTAAAGTAATTCTACAGGTGAAGCTGGATTTTATCTCTTTGTTCCTCCTTACAGCCTTTTGTATGCTCAAATTTTGAGGAGGCAAGTAAAGTCCACTACCAGAAGCAATTCCTTAAATGGAACAACACCACTAAATCTGTGCTGTGTGACATTTACTCCACAAAACCACTACTTTGTACATGTGATCAGTATATAAAGTCAAGGATGTGTGCTGTGTCAGCAAACTAAATATATCCAGCTATTGTTTTCTTCAGAATATTATTTTAAATGCTCTAATGACTTAAGCCTCATTATGTTGATTTTTGCACATTTAAAAATGCAATATATTTATCTGAATTTCAGAAGTGCTTAAAACTATTGATGAGGGAGATGCTGATGATGTTACAAAACAGCGAATCCATGAAGCAAAAGAAAAACCAGGAGCATTGTGGCACATCTATGCTGCTAAGGATGCAGAGAAGATCAGAGAGCTTCTACGAAAGGTATAGTGATGTGGCTTTTCAGCAATGGAAGCTTGCTATGATTTTGCACAGAATTCAATATACACATTTTAAAAAACATTTCCAAGTATTTTTTATTAATCCATCTCAGAATCTAACTGAAAGGTATGATATATATAAATTGAACATATTGTGAGGATATTTTTGACTGCTGACAAATTAGTAATATTATATCTCATACTGCTGCAAAACCTACTTTAGCAAAGCTAAAAATCTCATAATCCAATCATTTGGTGTGGAAATCGTCTGTTGGATATCAGGTGAGAAAAAAATCTCATGTCTTTGCAATAGGTTGGTGAAGAACAAGGACAAGAAAACCCTCCAGATCATGATCCAATTCATGACCAAAGCTGGTACTTGGACCAGAACCTACGTAAACGTCTGTATGAGGAGTATGGAGTTCAAGGCTGGGCAATAGTTCAGTTCCTGGGAGACGCTGTATTTATTCCTGCAGGAGCCCCTCACCAGGTAAATGTGCAGCTTGAGCCCTAAAGAGTAGAGCAAAAGCACTGTTTGGAACAGGCTTTTATACAGAATGTGATAAAGAGCACAAAAGTTGACTATGATTGTGGCCTCCTTTTACAGAAAGAGTGAACCGTTGGATAGGCATGCTATCAAGCGCTGCATATATTGTTTTAAGAAAGGAAGTACTATCTTCCCTCAGTATTCTACTTTTAAAATTTGCTGGAAATTTGTAGTTAACCATAGTTTCCAGTTTCACCCAAACCAAGAAAATAATTAGCAGATTTAGAACAAACCGGCATGATAAATCACCATTTGGTATAGCTTAGATTCCTGGTTTATTCTGAACCTGATAATGAGATTTTCCTGATTTGAAATCTGTTGTCACTGAGAGACTACAGAGTTTTATTGCTGCACACTATGGACATAGGAGAGTATGAGTTGCTTAAATCAGCAAAATACTTGCACATTAATTGTCTCCCTCATTTTTTAATCTGAAAATTTGAATGTTGTTACTTCTGAAGGCTTTGAATGATTGGATACTTCTGAATTTTAATTTTTACAATTGATTTGTTTAAGACATAACTTCTGTTTTGCTTCTTCATTCTCGTGCGTGTATTAAAATGCTGATCTTAACCTTTTCACCTTCAAATTATCTATCCTGAGTTGGAGTACAACATAGTTATTTTTGTGCATCATCTATTTTGTTGTTGAGATTTTCTTGATCTGGGTTTTGTCTGTTATTTTGGCCTTCCTGTAAATAAATTAAATTTACCCTCATCACTTACAAAAACATTCAGTGGCTCTGGAGGAAATAATTTCATCTTGTTCAATCCAATTCATGACCAACGGGTTTTGACCCATAGTGGGGATGATTTTAATTAGATGGCAGAGCGCAATTTGGAAAACTGACTTGGAATATTCTCTATTTCTTTTATAGGTTCATAACTTGTATAGCTGCATTAAAGTAGCAGAAGATTTTGTATCTCCTGAACATGTAAAACACTGCTTCCGCCTGACCCAGGAGTTCAGACACCTGTCTAACACACACACAAATCATGAGGACAAGCTGCAGGTAACTCTTTTGTGGGATCATCTTTTAGGCAACTCTGGTTGGGGGAAAAATAATACTTCAAAAGTTTATAAAGGATAATCCCAACAGTAAAAGCAGGTTTCTACAGGTCCTCTGTGAATTAATCTTTAGGCATTTTTGCAACATGAAGGCAAATTAGGAATAGGCTATGTGTGCTTCATGTGGTCTCTGAGCTGTTTTTGCATCCTGGGGCCCCTCCAGACTACTCAGGTGATCTTTTTTGTGTGTCCTCCAAAGAACAATATTATTATTCTGGAAGCTCCCACTTGGCTCCTTCAAATAAGTTGCAAGGCCTTCTTGTATTGCTCAACATTTTCAAAATTCAGTTTTTAAATCCAGAAGTGGATTTCCAGCCAATTGCCAGACTTTGGTTTTTTGTTTTTTTTTTTTTTTGTTTACCATGTTAATGTCCTCAATGAAATGAACTGGGTGCTTAGACTCAGTGCAATTTTCTACCCCTGGTATATGCAGTGAGTTAGATTCCATGCAGTAGGACCTTTATTGGCTTCTCCTCTGCTGTTCTCCAAATCTCCTCAGTGCGAAGAGACTCTTTGGAATGCCATGAACTTAGATGGGACATAAAAAGAACTTCCCGAGTTCGGTATTTGATTACCTTTTGCCAGACACATGTCCATTTTTTTACTCACGAAAGACACCTTTGGATCCAGCTCTTTTATTTTAATGGTTTAACCAAAGTTCCCTGGAAGGCTAGGGTTTCAAAATAAGTCAGGAGGGATTCAATGAGGGCCCGTTATTGAAAAATAATGCAAGGGTCCCCTGAGAGCTGAAAATTATTTCAAGGGTTTCTCTAGGGTAAAAAGATGAAGAAAGGATTAACCTGTGTATTTTTAATTATCTCATACGTTTTTGAGTTACTTAAAACATGTACCCATTGTGCATGATTGCAATTGGACAGATGCCTCCTTGACTCTGTGCATACTAACTAAATCAGTATGCACACAGGGATTATAATTCAGTTTGTATAATATCCCTCTTACAGAGAATATGACAGTGTGTTCAGGTTTTCCCAAATATGCTCCTTTAGACTATGTATCTTTATTAGTAAGAAGAAAACTTAATAATGATGTACATGTAAACTTTAAGCTGTATTAGGATTTTGTTACTCTTCCATGTTGCTTCTTTTCCAACATAGGCACAGTGAGCCCTCAGTATCTGCAGGGGATTGGTTCCAGGACCAGCCATGTATACAAAAAATATATACAAATGTTGAAGTCTTTACTAAAAAATATCATAGGGTAGCAGGGGAGGTGGGTGCAGGCTTTGATTGACAGGCATGCCTTCTTCAGGCTCTCTTTCTTCCAGGGAATCTGCCAGCTGCCTTCTTCTGCCCTTGAGCAACTTCCATGAGGACATGGCTGCTCATGACATGTTCCTTTTTGTTCATTCACAAACGATCATGAAGGAGTTCAGCCAAGCCCCTGCAGGAGTTAGTTAATCATTGTGTTGTAGTTGGAGGTAGCAGTACTCCTGCTTGTTTATCCGTGGATGATCCAGGAGGGCTGCTGCCAATTGCAGGGCAATGAGCAGCTTCCACAGTGACATATCTGTTGGTAGCAGTGGCAGCAGTCCTGCCATGTCCTTCCAGAACAGTAGTTCTCAACCTGTGAGTTGACCTTCAACTCCCAGAAATCTTCACAGCTGATAAACTGGGTGGGATTTGTAGGAGTTGCAGGCCAAAACACCTGGAGACCCACAGGTTGAGAACCAGTGTTTCAGAAGCTGCTTGAAGGTGGAAGTGCATGGCTGCTTGGCGCCCCTGGGGCTGGAGGGTGGGAGAGGAGCACAAAAATTGTGCGACTGGCAGACTGTAAAGTGAGTTTAATATTTAAAGAACTTCTGTCTTATATTTTCATGTTACAGATAGCAGATTGAGACTACTGTTCAGGATTTTAACTGTCAGTGTTACCCTTTGCTTACAGGTGAAGAACATCATCTACCATGCAGTGAAAGATGCTGTTGGCACCCTGAAAGCTCATGAATCCAAGCTGGCCCGGTCATAGGGACTGTTGGTTCCCAACCCTCCTCTAGAGTCATGTTTTTTGCTCACAGTATGGAAGGGGAATGAACATGCCTACATCTGCAGGAGCCAGAGGCCTCTCCTTAAGAGATGTTATGGCATTCCTTGCACTCTCCAGCCACTGTCTTCTGTGCTGCCTCAATACTGAACGTCTAAAAGAAGGTCACCGTAACACAGGATTCCTAACCAGTGAAAGGTGCCATGTCCCTTTCCTGTGGCCTTTTGCAAATTTAAATTGTATGGAAACCATGTGGTTTTCCTGCATATTATGAAATAGAACGTGTGAACCTTTTTCATGCCTAGTTAGTCTTTCCAAGAAGTTAGAGAGGCTGATGTGAAGATGAACATTCTTATTGCAGACTGAAATAGCTAACTCTGAATGTGTGTGGCCACCAGAAGCCCAGCTACCAAAACACAGGCGTTAGTCCTCCCGAGTCTGTCACAGGCCAAGGGAAAAAAAGAAATTGTTCTTCATGCTCCCCTTAACAGTTCTCTGTACACTGTAGAAACACAGAAAAGAAAAAAGTAACCACTGTTTTTCCTAGATGGCTCCAGGATTTTTAAATTGTGTATTTAGTGAGAAACTAGGTTTGTAGTGAAACAGTATTTCATGAAAGTAGATTTTTTAGAATTTGAAATACAGCAAATCTTCCTGGATTACAAAGAAAGGCATGTTGCATTTAGTCTTCCTTTCAATAAAATCTTTTGAGAAATAGAAGTAAATCTAGAATAGCACAATTGGCCAGAAAATAATGCAAAGAAATTGATTTCCAACACCAGTTTCCACAAAGACAGAAGTAAAGGGTGGGGGAAAAACTTTTACGTTTTGGAGATGTTGTACATCTCTCCCGGAATAGTTAAACAAGGCAATAGTTCACTGTTTGTCAGTTTTAGATTGGGACTACTACTACTCAGATCTGATTTTCAATATCGGCTTTGTCCAGAATCCTTTTCAATAAAATGTTCCTGCTTGATAGAGTTGTGTTGAAAGTTGTCACCATTGAACTGATGGATTCCATTGTTTGACTGTTCATTGGGACTATATTATCTACCTTCTATCCAGCTGTACTGTAGTGCCACCTGCAGGCCTGTTAATATGTTCACGGTTATTTCATTTTTAAAAAAATAAAAGTCATTTACTGTAGAATCTTTTTTAAGCTACACTGTATCTATGCATGAGGATTGTGGTGGGGTTGAAGGAGGAAGGGAAGTGTGCACACACATTCGCTGTGCTTCTGAAATTCTCTGCCCACTCTCTCCTCCAAACTCAAGAGCTATAGTAACATATATTTCTATGCTCACACAACTATAAGGTTTGGTGCACCATTTCACTTCACTGTATTCTAGTCAAATTCCTTTTCTAAGCAAGATGCAAAAGTGCAAAATGACCAAACCAGAGCATTAGCCAAGCCGTTCTCAAACTGCTTGTATTTATTCTTATGCCCGCTGATATAACCAAGTTTGTCTTGGTCCATATCTTAGAATTCACCCCAAATTCTCAATATTAACTTTTTACAAGTTGCTGTGAAACAGAAAGGTGTTACCCGTTGGTCTGAAAGAACCTGGGATGAAGAAATGGGTGTCATCCCCGTCCATTCATAACACGTCATCATTTATGCCATATGTGTTTTATTTGCAGTTTATCTGGAGTGCAATACCTCTTCAAAATCACTCCACTTTTACTTTTAAAGGCCTGCAAAATATCCTGTAATCACTTAGCAGCTATAAGCAGTTGGCAGTCTCGCACTCTCAGGAAACTAATAACTTTCACATACCTCCTTGTCTTGTGTAGTAAATGATGTGGTCTTTTCTGGAGTTACTTATATGAGTACTTTGACTCTGGAAGACTACTTTGTACTTACAATAGTAATAGATTCCTTAAAAACTCAAAAGATAGGTAACCCTAAGAGTTGAGCACATAGTCTGTTGTTTTTTCATGTTAACATGGTCATGACATGTAGAGAGTAAAGCTTTTATGATGCTCTAACACACATCATAATAGGCAAACAAAGCGTTTATGATGTTTTAAAATGTTTGCTTAAGAGATTCTGAATTGAATAATCCTAACACGAGCTCATTTACTCTTTCTAGGTTGAGCATCTAGAGCAGTAGTTCTCAACCTGAAGGTCCCCAGATGTTTTGGCCTTCAGCTCCCAGAAATCCTAACAGCTGGTAAACTGGCTGGGATTTCTGAGAGTTGTAGGCCAGAACACCTGGGGACCCACAGGTTGAGAACCACTGATCTAGAGTCACTTGCTTGTGCTTCCATACTAGTGAAACTGGGTTGGCATAAGGCCATAACGTCTCCCATGATTTCATCATGGAGGAGCCTCATCTGCCAGATGCTACTGTACTATTTCTTTTTCACATGGAATTCCTTTTTCTCTTGATGTTTTCCTGCTGAGTAATTTTCTCAAGAAGCAATTGCATTGTATTCTACAAGTAGTTTTGTTTCACAGTAACAATTCATATGTAATATTTGTAAAAGCAAAGGTCTCAATTGTGTTTGAGTTCTGTTTCATTTTTCAAAATTATAAACAAAAATAAATTATTTGCAGACTTAAGTATAAACAGCACTTTTCACTCAAATAATTGTGAATATCATTTCCATTTCCTTGCAAAATACTGTAACTGCAAAATACTTGAGTTACTATTATAGCTTTTATATTTAGTATCTCAAAACAATTTTGTAAGAAAGGAAAAACTAGACTGGTTCCAGATATGTTGTTTTTTAAAAATACCAGTTTATACATAATGCAGAGTTATTGTTAATAAGATGCTATAGGAACCAAGAGCTTCTGTGTGCTTAAAAGCAGCATATATATACATATTGTCTGCAGCTGCTTTAATTGTGGTGCTACATAAATAGGGCAACAATGCATATTTCTAAAGGATACTGCAGCTTTACCCTATTAATCTGATGACACACACATTTTAAAACTGCGCTTAAATTATATTTTAAAAAGGAAAAAAACATCCAATTTTAAAAGAAGGATGGCAAGCAAAATACCTTTTGATTCTGGCAAGCTTTTGGTAATGTCTGAGCAGGGAGCTTTTCACAGGTGGATACTGTATTGTCTTTAAAGATGTACATTTAAATTGTTTCTTTAATTGTGTTGTGTGTTTATTTGTTTCATTGTTTTTAAGTTTCTAATCTTTGTGGGTTTTATCTGCACCTTTTAAATGTGAGTTGCCTTGAAAGTTAGTTTTGAGAGAAAGGTGAAATTTAAAACCAAATAAAAATAAACAGCAAAATTGTTTGCACACTTATCTGAGAATAAATTATTGAATACAGGGCAACTTGGCTAAACGTACATTTGTTGATGCAATTAAACTATTTGTAACCCTTCTGGTTTTTTTTTTAAAAAAACCCTCAATATGTTTTTTTTTTAAATTGACTATGGTTTTAAAACTGTTGTTAAAGAAATGTCTTAATGAGCTTTCAATTGTTAGTCCTTTAATGTTTTACATATTTTTACACTTTGCACATCAGCTCAAGGGCCAAGGAGCAATAAAGGAAATGCACTCAATTGACCAATACGCCCATCTTCATATTCAAACACTATTAGATTCACATCCCTATCCAGAAATCTTTGTGCACACCAGGAGGATGTCTACAACCAGAACTTGGAACCAGTTACAAGAACAAATTAATTGTAATTCCCTATCAATTAGCAAAGTTAATTACTGTAAATTACATTGTGACTATAACTCAGCAAGGGGTAACTGTATGCCTTTTGTGATGTAACTTGTAGTTGCTTCTCTATGTTTTGGATTCCATTATGTTCTTCACCAATCCATCTACTCTCCTGGGTGTTTGGCAGGTTGTTGGAAGAAGAAAATGTACTGCTGCAATTTTCTTTGATCATCCCAATTTTGTATCATACAATGCTGTCTGAAATTGGGTTAAATACAAGAATGTCCTTGCAAAGGAGTTTTGCTACTGTATGTATGATTTCTCTTCTCCTCCCTCTTCTCCTCCTCATCAAATGTAAAATATTTCATTTGGGATGCTCTAAGAATTTGTTCTGCGTAATGAATTAATATTTCAAAAATATTACCTAGTTTTGTTCTCAGATACTGTCACTAGTTGGGGGAAGGGGGATAATTAAATATGAGCATATTAGTACATCTTTCTCTTAATCCAGTGGATTATTTATTTATTTACCATATACACACACACACACACACACATTCCACCTTTCCCTACCCCAAGGGGGACTCAAGGTGGCTCCGCAGTGCCTTGAAAAAACATACAATGTTAACTTAAAAATAGCTTGGATTAAAATTAATACATATTAAACATAATTAAAATAGATTCCAATGTTAAGCACACCATCCATTTTAAAATATTTATTTTTGCATCCAATTTCTTGTACTATAGACATTTTAACCAACTTAAAAGGATCTTGTTTTCTTACTATTGAGAAATTGGGAAAGGAAACAAGTACTTTCAAACGTATCACTGCTTATTTTTAAAAGCAATTTTGCAAGCTATGTATGCAATTAGTTACATCTGTGCATGCTGATGTATGGAACTGAGTATTAGTTTGGAATTGGGGGTAATAAAACACAGGGCTCAACCCTCAGCGATTTTAGAAACGAGCCGAATCCTACATGAGATTTAATAAGCACTTTAATTACAGCATGGAGCCCCTGGTGGCACAATGGGTTAAACCCTTGTGCCGGCAGAATTGCTGACTGAAAGGTTGGTGGTTCAAATACGGGGAGTGGGTGAGCTCCCGTCTGTCAGCTCCAGCTTCCATGTGAGGACATGAGAGAAGCCTCCCACAGGATGGTAACACATCCAGGCGCCCCCTGGGCAACGTCTTTGCAGATGGCCAATTCTCTCACACCAGAAGCAGCTTGCAGTTTCTGAAGTCACTCCTGACACAAAAATTACAGTTAATCCATCCAGATTCCCATCACTATCACTATCCCCACTTATTGGACAGCAGGTGCTGCTGCAATCGAAAGGTCTGTTCCCCCTCAGTCTGGAAGCAGTGGATTGCCATTTCCATCGCCTCTCTTGAGCAATCTCCAGAGCAACAGGTGTTAAGCGGGACCCATGTCGTAACTCCCCCTTGTGCCAGGAGAGCACGTCATTTAGCTACTTGCCAATTAAACAAGCCCCTGTTGATCGTAGCAGCTGCTGCCTGATAAAGGAATTGGGTGACTTTTGGGGTCTAAACATTACATACCCTTTAGGGCTACATAGCGACTGAATATATAATAGTAACAGGTACATATCTCTAGGTTACACATTTGTAACAGCCATAGAGGATTCAGGCCACAATTATAAGTGCCTTATGTCAACAGAGATGTTTGTTATTTATTCTGAATCAGTCCTAACAAAGAAGAACCCCATTTTGACGGAAAGTGTTTTTAGGGAGTTGCAGTAAATTACTTCTCCCCACTGTATGGAGGAGTCAAAGGAGCTTGTCAAGCGACCAAGGAAGCGTCAGGCCTCTGGGCCTAAGGAAGCATCAGCCAATTCATTTGATGTATTTTCTGATGAACCTTGCTCGAATCCATCTGAAAATTCCATTACCTTCACCTATACTGTGGGCAAGGTAATAAATGGCAACTTGGAACTGAGGACTTGACTCTACTTTTACTATAAGGTTTAAATTTTACAGTTTTGGAATGACACTGTAAAGGACTAGTTATTTTGAACAGGTTATGGGTAGTTCAGCAATTGGTTTTATAGCTGATAATCATCGCTTTGAGTCGCCTGAGGGCTGAGAAAATCGGTATATAATTAAAGTAAATAATAATATATATGCAAATAATAAAAAAGGTTAATTTGGCATCCTTTTATTTCTAATGCTTGAAGTGCCATAAATTTAAGTTCATTTTCTCCATTTTCATTTGGTTTTGTGCCCTCTGTGGTTCTCTCTTTTCTTCCCATTTGTCATTTTTGTCTCCCTTCCCGTTTATACATCTGCATCTTGTTTTATACTCTGCCCTCTTGAACTGTCTCTTCTAGTAAGTAATTTGAACAAGAGCTGCCAAGTGTGTGAGCTTCAGGGTAAGATATGCTTGCAAAAATCACAGCAACTGAAATGACTTGCAAATCATATTTCATTTGTGGTGGTTTCAAGCTGTCCTGGATTTCAGTGGGTTTTTTTTTTCATTTGTGATGTA